TCTGCTGGGAGGAAAGGGGAGAGAGCTGGGATTGTTCAGCCTGGAGAGGAGAAGGCCCCAGGGAAACCTTATACCCTGACCATTCAGCTAAGTATTTCCTTTTGACAGTATCTTTACTTGCAGTGGAGGTTATCTGTGTTCCCTTTCCTTTAAATACCTGATCCCATAAAAGAGGTAATGTAATAGCTGGTACTTCACACAACACCACTCAATCTCCAATCACCTTATAAAGGTAAGGAAATGCTGCAGAGAAACCTAAGTGTTATTTCTAAATGATGTATGAACAGGGCAATGTTTAAGGTGCCACCTATAGAAGATACTTGATCAACAGCATCAGTAATCCCTCCTGTAACTTTATAGGGCACCAAATCTAATACATTTTGCCTGACAGACATGAAAACCCAACCAAAAGGTCTTAAATTAAGAAAATGAAAATTGTATTTAGTGCCTGTAAAGTATCCTCAGTGTAGCATTTTATTCAAAAATTTAAAGCAGGGGCTTGCCCAGTGCTGCCACACATGCATGGTTCCAGCTGGCCTTGGTGCAGGAAACTGGCCTTGCCAAAGCAAAGGTTTTAGGACTAATTAAGAATATAAATATCTCCCAGTATGTTTTTCTGAGCTTAGCAAAGGAATGCATCACCTGTCCCAAATATCGTAAGAAATTAGCTGTGATGGGTTACTCTCCAAATTCTGTTGTGCCAGTTATGCAGAGCTGAGTCACTGGATCTATTTCAATACAACTAAAACCTGTTTAAAACATATTTTCCACTCCTAGCAATCATCTTCCGTGGAAAAGTATTACTAAAACAAGTACTTAGTGTGGGAAGGGCAGAGGCCTCATTCCTGCATCTCCTGAGTCTGTATCTCTAAATGCAGAGTAATGATGCTCAAATTCTAAAGCCGAATAAAGTTTGCTGTTACAGAGATAAGAGTTCAGCTGAAAATTGCATGAAAGTAGCCAGCAAGCTGAGATAATCCTTCCAGAGATACTTTAAAAATTCCCTTTGCAGGGTGCCAGGCTGAATGGATCTGTGCAGTAAAAGTGGAAAATGCACATCCAGTCTTTTCCAAATCAATTAAGATGCTTAAAAACCTGACTCTTCCACGGGAGAGTTTCTTAAATTCATTCCAGAAGAGAAATTTTAAAACAAAATGGCTTGAATGTCAACCCCCAGCCTTTATTTCAAAGGGTTACCAGCACAGACAAGCCACTTCACAGAAAGAGTAACTTGCTTTGAGTATCCAGATATCCCATTTAAGTAGCATCAAACAACACACAAAAGGACGATGGAATCAGATGATACATTTAAAAGCTGTCCAGAGTGGGTTTTTTTAATGCACTCTTCCCATTTATCAGCTACTTCATCATCTCCATTTGAATGCTCTTCCCCTACCTCCAGATGTAAAAGCAAGGTCTTCCATGGAAGTAGAATTAACAGGGGAAACAATCAAACCCTTAAAGCTTTTGCATTCCCTGCCAAGAGCTGAGACAAGGATAATGTCCAGCTGCAGACAGTCCAACATCCACAAGCTGCTACAAACTGAGAATTAGCTGAAGGCTTTATAAATTCTGCAGAAACTGAGCTGCTCTGAGGCAGGGAGGAAAGAAAGGAGTGCAAGGTGACAGTGACTGTCCAGACCCCACTTGGGGCAGTGGCTGTGATGATGATGATGATGACCGTCCTCCTCTGACCCAGTTCTGCTAATCCTCTTCCCTGTGGATGGAAACTGGGCAGTGAGCCAGGCCTGGCACGTGAGTGAGTGTCTTTGGATGAGCATGGAACAGGGCAGTGAGGAGCTGACACACCTTCTCTGCATGCTGCATGTGGTCTAGGAGAGATGGTGGAGGGATGCAAACATCCCCTGTCCTGCAAACTCCAAACCTCATTCAAAAGAAAAGCACTGCAAAGATATTTCTGGTTTTCCCAATGCCAGAGGTTTTCCTACTGCAGAAACACTGTTCTGCTCTGCAATATTGCACAGCTGGAGATTCTCAAGGTGAAGACAACAAACATGAGCCCTGAGAAGACAGAATTCTGAAGGGCTTTGATCATATGCCTTGTCCTAAACTGAAATCACACACCCCAGCAGTGACACTGCACAGGAGGCACATATTTGTTCCCCCACGTCACAGGGGGTGTTCTAAGTTAGTTGGCTGTGTCATCTCACCTGCCTTGTCATCAGTATCTTCAAACTCCACCATGACTGAGTGGCCAGTGTTGGAGATGCTGAGGGACGTGCATGACTCGTAGGAGATGATCAGTGGCTTCAGGTTTGGGTCGTAAACTGCTCTGGCAGAAACGATGTCAATGGGGGACTGGCGGCTCCCCTGGGCAATAGGGTAGGATTTGTGCCACTCTGAAGGTCCTTCAGAAGGAAAGAAAGGAAAGCATCATTATTTCCCTCCTACCAAACACAAAATGATGATGGGCTTTCACAAGGCTTGAAGTAAAGCTTGCCCAGCAAGGGAGACTTGAATGCTTGGTATCTGAGAAACCCATTTCCATTCTAAGCTGGTGTGTTTTTTTCAGCACAAACAGGCTGCAGCAAGATGGGGACTCAAATATCTCACACCAAACACCCTGAGGAAACCATGGCACATCAACAGACTGCTGTACCTGCAGCTACTTGGGTCACTCATTCACTGCAGACTTTGCAGTTCCATGGCTGAGGTGTCTGAAGGGCTTCCAAGGTGGGTGCAGGTGTAAACAAACACTCTTGCACACACACACACTCCCCCAAGGAGACAGCAGTTAATTCTTCCTGGGGAAGAGAGTGTAAGAGCTCCAGCAATTCAAATGAGATGCAGATGACTCAACCCCTGAGCTACTGACTGTGCAGTTATTTTTAAAATCCTTTTATGACTGCAGTAAATCTTGAAGGCAGCTCTATTCTTCACTCATGCCCATTCTGGTATCTCCCTAACGCTGAGTGAAGGGTACACTGTGTTCATTAACATTTTTTGGACGTCCTGACCTCAACAGAGTGTGGAGAAAGACTAATCCAATAACACAGCTCTGCTGCCAGCGCTGGAAATTCTTATGCCCTTTGAGAAAACAAAAGCTTATCCACATCAAAAAATTTCTTATGCCTTAATTTCTACTTCGGCATGGTAGTGCAAGCAGCAAGTAAATTCTTCTCCTGCTTCTGTTCATGAAGTATTAGCAGTAACAATTTTGCTTCCAGATTCTCAAGAAGCACATTTTTAACTGTAGCATTCTCACACACTTTCACAAGGGGAAGCTTTTTCAGTCAAGCACAGGTATTCAGCCTCCTTGAGTTTACATAACAAAACAGTGATCTATTACACTCTTACTTGGCTTTGGCATTTTCTGCAAAGCTAAGCTTAGAAAATAATATCTTTTCTCAGCCTGCCTGTAAAGCAGATTTAGGAATTAAATGCTGTTAGACAAGCTAGGGCAATATCATTTGGCTCTCAAGCTTCATAAGAGCATATATGGCTTTATTACTACTCCTACCTGCTCATACATAGCATCTACCAGCACTAACCAGCTTCACTTACTATTCAACCTTGCTTTTGGGCTCACAAAAACTAAAGGAGTTGCTGTTAAGAGACTGGCCCCTGGAGGTTATGCAGAAGACTCTTGCTGGGCACTCAGCAGCTGAAATAATTGCTGCCAAAAGAGAGAGAGGGGCTCCTGAAAGTCATGCAAAAGACTGTTTTATTGGACAGCACCAGCCACTCATCCAACCCTCCTCTGAGAAGGAGCAGGCACTGAAAAACACAACTGTGGGAATCTTTCAGCAGCTTCACATTTCCCTCTGACACATCCTTGGGGGTGGGAAGCAAGGGAGGACGACTAAATTAAAAACTGTCAAATCAGAAAGCATGAGTTGTTCTGCAAGAGATCTGTGATACTGATCTGTACAATTTAGTGATGTTCTAGACATATTTAACATATAACTTGTACTATTCACTCCTGTGGAAGCCCAGAGATCACGTTTCAACAGCTGCACAGAAGCAGGAGATCCATTACTGCTCTACTAAATCTTTGTTGCTTACAAGAATTGCTTGTGGAGAGACAGACACAGTTAATCTTCTTCATAACAGCTTTTTGGGAGGGGACCCATCTCTGCAGCCTGAAAAAAAAAAAAAACCACTCGGTCCTGCTTCCCTCAGTTCAGGAATGCTGATTGCAACAGTGAAAGGCAGCAGGCGTAAGCCTGGACACCTTCTGGTGCCACTCTCTGGGTGCTATTGATTATCAATAAAGTAATTAATTACCTGCCGTATATACTGGATGCTTGCAGACCTCCAAATGCAGGCAGCTCTGCAGGGCTCAGGCAACAGCTCTAGAAAGAAAACGAGTGGGGGGAGACAGAGATGCAGCACAGAAATGCCAGAACCTACCGTCATGCTGGCCGTATCCCCAGCTGCGCTGGCCGGTCATGGCAGAGCTGCACCCCCAGCTCGCTGCAGCTCCTCGGGCACGGCACTCCTCTCACCTGCCTTTATAGCGGCTCCCCGTGGGAGAGGGTCAGCCCCTTAAAGATACAGAGCAGCCACGGCAATTCCTGCAGGACAGGGACAGCCTTTCTGCTCCTGCTCCTGCTCCTGCCCTGTCCTGCTCCCTCTGTCTGCCGAGGCAGCACAGAGGGAAAAGAGAAAACTGAGATAACCGAAGTCTCAGGACTTCGAGAGGAAGCTGTCCAGGTGACATACTGTCCTAGGACACCTGCAGACCAAATTCAGGGAAAACCAGCAGTGGTTTCCCATTCTCCTCCAAAGCCATAACTGCTCCGAGCACCAGGCAGGGTGACACGTGCAGGTGACGGTGGGACCTGCCCTGCTCACGTCTGTGCTCTGCCTCTCTGTTCTCAAACACTCCCTCCAGCTGCAGAAAAGGAATGGTGTTTTCACCTCAATCAGTGATTAGATGGGATGGAGAACATTATCATCTCAGGGCAAATTACTTGCGCTATTTTAAACCATGTAAAAATCCCATAAACTAAGGATGAACTTTTATTCATTTTTCTTTGTATCTCTGAAGAAACTTTTTAAATAGACAAAAAGGAAAGTGTGGTTATATCAGGGAACAGAACACAGCAGGCTCCAGAGAAAGGAGGTGATCTGAGAAGCCTCAGTTACCTGGAATGATCCAGTACCTGCACCCTGCTAAACCCATGAAGAGGCTACAGGGAGACACCCAATCTGCAGCTGTAAAATGACATAAGACATCTCTGTGCAAGGGAAATGGCTCCTTGGTAGCAATTTTGTTGCATCCAAGCAAATGCTGCCTGTCAAGGCTACGTTTTATAAACATATTGATTTTCACAAAGACAACAGCACACAAAAATAGGGATTCTTCTATTATGCCATCAAGACCATGGAAGGAAAAAAAATCAATAGGAGTATTTTATACAACTGTTAAGTTGTGGTACTGCCTTGTAAGAATTAATTTCATTCTTCAGGAGGTTTCGGTAAGAGTCAGCTCTAAAACCTCGGAGAGCAGCTGATGCAGGCTAAATCACTCAGTGAGGGATGTAAACTGCTCTGAAGGTCTCCACAGGAGTTCTGTGATGGCTTGCTCAGCTCAGCTTCTCAAGTAATTTCTGTTGAACTGTGGGATGTGCTCGGGTGCCACACACACAGCACAGCCCCAGCTGTGGCCAAACTGTGCACACAGGCCTGGTGGGGACCAAACACGGGGACCAGCACGGCCAGGGGGTCAGAAACACCCCCAGCCTGTCAGGGAG